GGCCGTAGGAAGCCAGCTTATGCCTAGGCTTTTGGGCAACATCTTGCCATAGCCCTCACAAACTGATTATATAGTCCGTATATGTCATGTTTGCTTCCAATTATGACCAATGTGAGGGCTTGACAATATTTGGTGTTTCCTTGCATTGGCTAAGATTGTTTACGGCTACTTTCCAACAAATGCTGATTAGCAGATTGCAAGAAATAAAACTGAAATATATGCAGTGTTGTCATCACCTATTCTTTCACATCTAGCTCTTGCTCTAGGAGGGGAAGGAGGAAGGAGGACATATGTATCCCTAAATCCCAAAGTCAAAAAACAATCCTTTCACCACCACAGTGACAAATGCTACAGTGACTCCCTGTTCTGCATTCTACCACCCTCAAGTATGGAGGCAGCATGAAGTACTGGAAAGGGCAAGGTCTTTGGAGTCAGGCAGACCTCGTGGCCCAGCCTCATCATTTACTAGTGAGGGGACTAGAATTTAGCAGGTGGGTAACCCCATTCAACCTCTTTGAACTTCAGTTCCCAATCAGTCTATCTCCCAGGGTTGGTGAGGGAACGAGACAAAGATTAAGAAGCTCTTGGCTGAGATGAGGTTTATTCAATAAATGTTAGTGTCCTTTCCAAGTAAAAATTGTTTTGGTGCCATAGGAAGGCAGACATCTGAATCAGGGTCACACATGCGTTCTGGGATCTTGGAGAATATAGTCCTATTAAAATGGTGAACTTCAGTTTCATCTTTTGTAGTCTCTTCAATCATGGAGCATGTGGGAATTTAAATATGGTCTGCAGACTCTATGAGGCAAAAGAGGAGGGAGCAAAAGGAAGTCAGTAAGGTGAGTCAGGGTGACAGCCCAGATTACAGCAGTAAACATCCCTCTACGCAGGTATGTATGTATGTATGATGTCATGTACGTATGTAGCTCCTATGGCTTTTACTCCTTTTCTTTCTCCTTTCTTTTCCATCAAGTCACCTTTTCATTTTTGTTCCACCAATTTTATTTTATTTTATTTTGACTAACTTATTTACCCACATGGTTCAAACTTCAAAAGGTGTAAAAGGGGATTCAGTGGAAAGTCTCCTCTCACCTTGCCCTTCAGCTGCCAAAGGCAACCAATGTTAACAGTTTCTTGCATATCCTCCTGGAATATTCTGTTTACCCTCTTTTTATACAAACGAGCACATACTCAACCATGATATGAATTTTGCTTTTTCACTTAACAATTTTGGGCATTATCCCACATCCATATATGGAAAGCTTCCTTGCTCTTCTTAAATTTATTTTTAATTGCATTATATTTTATTTTGGGTATATACCATGACTTATTTAACCAGTACTCTATTGAGGGACATTCAGGCTAGTTCCATGTTTTCTTGCTATTACAAATCAGGCTGGAATAATCTTGTACATATCATTTTGCACATAAGTAAATCTGATAGATGGTGCCAAATTGCCCTTTCTAGAAGTTGTACCAATGCACACATGCTGCAAAGTACCAAAGACTTCTGACTTTTCTAAAATGTACATGCAAAGGAACTAAAGCACATAAACAGGAAGTGTGTTCGCCTGTTGTATCCTGTACTGTCACGCAGGCTGGAGTGCAGTGGCGCAATCATAGCTCACTGCAGCCTTAAACTCCTGGACTCAAGCAATCTGGCCACCTTGGCCTCCCGAAATGCTGAGATTACAGGTGTGAGCCACTCTGCTGGCCTTGAAAGATAATGTAATTATATGTTAATATAAATAACTTTAATAAAAAATAACTATTTTCAAAAAAAATTAGTGAGAAGAGTGGCATTGCTTTATATTTTTGCAAACCTGGCTTGATAGATAATAGCTGTATTCTCCTATCTGCTTCTGCATTCAAGCTGTTGCAATTTCATGTCCAATAGCCTCTGGAAAGCTCCACTGTATACTTATGAGAGAATGATTGTGAAACAGGCTAATAACATTCTTAGTATTGTTATTAAAATAGTTTTGACATTGAAAACACTTTGAAAGGGTCCTGAGGACTGTCAGAGGTATCCAAACCACACTTTGAAAACAATTGGTTTAGACCAACTTTATTATATTTTATTATTCTTATCCCCTATATATTTAATTTTTGCGAACTTTATCTGTCACAGGCTAAGAAAAGCCCATGAAAATGTCCTACCTTTTGTTGATTTTTGTTCTTTTGAGGCGTTTTGCTTTACGTAATGGTGCTTGTGTATACTGTGGTACACACATATCCAAGACAGTTATATCGTTTATATTTTTATTTATTTTTTGGTGGCTTAAAGCAGTAATAACTGGTTTCTTTTTCTCACAAATCTGCAATATGAGCAGAGCTCAGGAGGTGGGAGGAAGGCTTGTCTCTGCTCTGCACAGCATCAGCTGGGGCGGCTCACCTGAGAGTTGGAGGATCCATTCCCAGCGTGCACACTCACAGGGCTGGCAGGCTCGTGCTGGCTATCAGCTGGTAGTGCAGATGGGGCCAAGTGTTGGGGCCTCAGTTCCTCTTCACATGGGCCTCTCCATGTGGACTTCTCCATGTAACCCAGGCTTCCTCACAGCAATGTGGCTGACTTCCCAGGGGGAGTATCAGAAGAAAGAAAACGTTAGTCCATTCTGAATTCTGCTATTGCTTTGAATTCAATTCTAATATTATTGAGCTAGCACCTGCTATAATCATAGAAAAAATCAAAGATAGTTGTATTATTAGTTTCTCTCTTTCTGGTGTGTTCTTGGCACATACAGCTTAATCTTAAATCATGGCCAAGTATACTTGGAACAGCTGTAAGAACGGCCAGGTTCTTATATCCTCAGATACAGGCCTTCTGGTTAGTAATGCACTTCTCTGACCTGGCCTTTCCATTTACTTCTGCTGCACCATAGAGTTCCCAACCCTGGCATGGTACTTTTGTGCTGCACCATTCACCTGAACACATTTCCTTCTGCCCAAGTCTACTTCTGCTCAACTATGGTTTTATACTTTCCTGACCCCACCCTGGCAACTAATCATGAATCTAGGTTACTTCCTTTGCTTCATCAGGCTTACTGGTATTAATCTCACATGGTTTCTAGAACCATGAAAGTTTAATAGAAGAGACCCAGGCTCTTTCCTCTAGTAGTGACATTTCCTGGGCCCAGTGGAACATTTTCCTGTGTACTGGGCATCTCTGCTACATTTCCTGCCCTCCCTTGAAAACAGCTATGTCTTCTCCTTACCCTCTTGCTATAAAACCCACCTCCCAATTTCCAGGAGATGAGAAGTGCCAAGGTTCATGGGCTGTGAATTGTTTTCCCAGGTCCAGCTCCAAACTTAATGTTCAAATAGGCTAAAACGTGGATCCATCTTTGTGGATCAGAGTCCCTAATAGGTTATCTTGCAGAATTCTAGGTGAATATGGTAGCTGTATTAGATTTGATATAAGGCACCAAAGGGGGCATAAAACAGCATGCTTAGGGTAGTGTCCAGGATTCGTATATCCAGCCTTCACCCATATAGCCAAATTCTAATGCCCATTATTGACCATGGATCCATACACACCAGATCAGACACCAGGGTGTTATCAAGGACATCTGGCTCTCTTCCTACTAGAATGCCCTCAAGAGACTAATTATGCTTACTGGGTGCAATAGATAAGAGGCTAAAAGAAGCATGCTGAGTACGTAGTGCACGGGAAACACACAAGATTCAGGCCCATTCCCCAGGTCAGAGCCAAGTATAATACCCATATAAGACCAGAGCTAGGGCCAGAACTGGAAAGGTGGCAACACCTGCGCATGAAAGGACTGGTGATCCTTGGCAGCCCTACCTGGGAAGATCAGCTAGGAAGTGAAAGCTTTCCAACAGCAGCACAATTCTGTGCTAGCAGGAGGGGGCCAAATGGAGTTTGCATTCTGATAGGCATGTTCCTATGGTTCCTGGTGAGGCTGCTCAGGAGTAAGGACTCTGTTATAAGCCTCATTTTGAAGACAGTGAGTACGCAATTCTACATTCTTAACCACAGTTCAATACTTATGTTTTCATCCTTCTTAATGGTCTACAAGCCCTTCTATGGCACTCATTTGCAAGAGGGACTGGGCAAGTGAGGAAAACAGGCTCAGGTGCATTAGGTGATTTGCCCAGCTGAAAAGTGATAAAACCATACTAGATCTTCAGATCCTAATCCAATGCTTTACCCACTCTTCCAAGATGGATTATGTAGGTAGGAGAAGCTAGAGTCCAGAAGAAACAAAAGCCCAAGCTGAGGCATTGGAGGCTAATAGGCCTTAGAGGGTAAATAAGAGAAGGTAAGGACAGGCGGGAAATGCAGAGGAAGGACTCTACTGGCAAACATGGGAGCTAGTGGTAAGGCTGACTGGAGTATCCAATTTTGTTGAGATGTAGAAATCAGGTGGGAGAAGTGGGAATAGGGCCAGATGAGTAATTTGATGTGATATGGTGTGTAATAAGGCATCACTGTGGTTTCATGAGAACCAGAGTAACAGTGAAAGCAGGGTTTTAGGAACACTGAGTTGGCACTGAGACAGAAATCAGAGTAGAAGAAAGAGTCTAGAAGCAGGTAACCAGTGTACTGTTGTGGCAATTCAGGTGTAAGGTGTTAAGTCTTGGACTAAGATGGTAGCAGTGGAAATGGTGAGGAAAGAATGAATCCACAAGACAGTAAGAAGACAGTAAGACAAGAAAGACTTCAGAATTTAGTATCGGATTTGCTACAGGAACAAAAAGTACAGAGTTCAAAGCTGCTTTATAAGTTCTCAGGGTCTAGAAGAATGAAGGTCTCACTGACATAGAAGATTAATGCCTTTATTTTGGAGAGATAAACAGATTACATTGTTCATCTGACCCTCTTGATAGTACAAGTGGGTCAGATAAACAGTTTAAACCTTGAGATTATATCCCAGCTGGATGGCTAGAGGTTAATCCCCTATAGAAAATAAATTTTGAAGCACAGGGTTGAAAGGGAAATAACTTATATGTTTGCTATAATCATAACAACCAACATATAGCTTTCTTTCATATTATTTTATTAGTACTTATAAAAACAATTTATGAAAATATTTTACTTTTCAAGATACGGAAACTACACTCTGAAAATATACATACCCATAGTTGTTACAATACATATCCTTGTATACACCTTGGACATTGTGTTTAAGAATCATACCTGCAAGGGCTAGAAGAAACATTTTCTCTAACCTCAGTCATATAGTGTGACATTCAAGTACTTAAACCACATTGTTGAAATAAAACATGCTCTAGTGTATGGGCCTAAAGGGATTTAACTTTCTAGGTGCCATTGGTTCTTTCATTGTGCAAGGTAAAGAACTGGAAGAGGGTTCCCTGAGAGTTAATTCACCTTAGGTGGCTCAAGTAGTGGTTTACTGTCCATACTTTATCATGGAACTAAGGGAGGGAGGAAGACCATGGAAATTCAACTTGGGCAGTCTCCTCTCTATCATCCCTATCTATGGAGCACGGCCCCTATGTGATGATTTCTGAGACCTCTGAGTTCTCAAATGCTCCTGATTCTATAATTATCTAAGGTATTTGCAGAGTGATGTTTTTGAAAGTCTAAATTCCAACACTGTAAATTAGGTGAAATAGAGATGACTTACCTACATAGACTTCATTTAGGATTTGTCAGGTGTCAAGGCAATTGATAAAATCAGCAAGCCAAAAATTCCCCCACTGAACTATTGGAAAAGATCCTTTCTCACCAAGGCACGAATCCTAGAAGGCAAGTTCCTCTTTGCTTTGGGAAAATGATGATGAGAGGGTATGAAAGAGCCTATAACCTTTCAACTCTGCGGGCTTAAGATAATGACAGATGCTTCATCTGACACAGTAAGAGCTGGAGGCTACTGCAACCTCACCAATAAAGGGTTCGTTACAACAAAGAATCATTTGTGTACTCCCTAAGTCCTGACTAACCTCCCAAGCTTTTCTAGATATTAAATTCTCTCTAACTGCAAAGTATTGGTCTGATGAAGTTCCAGATGTAAAATGTGCTGTTTGAATTCGTGGCATTAGTGTCATGGTGCTGCATCAAGGTATGGCACTGACATTTAACATCATGCTGATAAACTAGAATTTATAGTGATTTTTATTTCAATGTAGGAAACTATGAAAGTCAATCAAACATAGATTCACAAGTCTTTAATGTATAACATAAAACATTACATATAATTTCATAACTATAAAAATAAGTTTAATACATTATCATATTTTTAAAAATTACTTTAAAAACATATACTCCAAAGTCTTCTATTTCATTTAGAGAATAAGGGAGGTATCTATTAGGGTGAACCATATGAAACTATGGTTTTTTAAGTTGAAATAGTAAAATCTTGGCAATTACATATGGTTCAACCTAATAAGATCCTGAGAAAATTTTATTTGGCATCACACTATAAATTCAAGGGGAATTTATAGAAAATCACATTTCTAGTGAAGAGAAAACACTTCAGGATGGAAATGTGCACACTGGTCATGCCAAGATTTCTCTTTGTGATTTAAAGATCTGAAATCCTGGAATGTTAAGAAAAATTTAGAGCAGTTTCAAAAACAACTGAGGACAATTAAAATTATAGAATGCTAGCTGCAGTTGCTAATGCGACTGAAACAGAAAACTACTTGCCAAATTTGGCAATTTCAGTGTTTTAGAGGTGACATAATAAAAATTCCAGCATTAAAATGAAAAGGCACAAATATGAGTTGTAAGTATGATAATCATTTATAAAATATTTGAAAATAAGGCCAATTCATTTGTATTATTAACACCATTAAGCAGGCACCTATTCTAAGCTTCAACTTCGTCCTCCTAAATAGAATAAGGTTGCAAATGAATTATCAACATAATACTAATTATAGCAGCATTATCAATTGTCTGGAAGGCATAGTATATAAAGATCATGGTGGTAGAACCAAGTTTCTTAGGCTCTACACTACTAAAAGAATATCTAAAATAGCCTCCCCACCCATATCCCATCAGTACCAAAAATACATTTTAAAAATTACATGTAATATTACTAGCCATAAAATTTTTTGGTTTTTCTTCAAACAATGAGCTCTCCTCTCAGCAACTCGACCCCAACAACAACAAAAAAACAAAACCAAAGCTACCAAAATATTGTTACACCAAACAGACTAGCTATTCTTAACTAATTAAAGACATACTATATTCAAAAATGGTAGTTTAGGAAATTTATTAAATATAACCAATGAAGCAAATGCAGATTTTCCAGATGTGTGCATATGCTGTCTGTGAATTAGGTGATGGTGTACTTGAAAAAAATATGTATTTCTGCAATGATGCTTCATTTGGAACTTTGGTACCATTTACGAACGGCCGCTCCAACATTACTGGCTACTACGCAGACAGCACCACCCACTGTCCACCATGTTGGCACATTATTAAAGAAAATAATCTGAAAGATAAAAGCAAAGACCACATCCATTGTCCTCATTATTGCTACTGGCCCTGCTTTTTCTATTTGAAGTGCTTTTGTGATAAATATCTGAGCCCCCAAACCAAAGAGCGCAATGAGTATGAGAAATAGCCTGTCCAACCCACAGTAAGGCAGACTCCACTCTCCTAATATAAAGAGGATGATGACAGTTTCAACGAGGCCAAGTACTACATAATACCAAATGGTCAGAAAGTAGTCCACAGATTTTCCCATTTTTCTTAGGATAACTAGAGTCGATGCAGCAAACACGGCGTGTCCAATTGCTGCGAATGTTCCCTTAAGGTGGACTGAATAGCTTTCTTCGATCCCCGAAGTACCAAACAAAAATGGTGGTCTCACGATAAGGATCACTCCAGCGATTGTGAACATGGTGAAAAGAGCATCCCAAGGGCTATATTTTTCCTTGAGACATATCCAAGCAAATATGGACGTAAACACTGGACTGCTAAACGTGATAACTGTGGCATCAGCGAGGGCCATTGTCTGGAAAGCATAGTATATAAGCATCATGGAGGTAGAACCAAGGACTCCTCTGAGAATGAGGAAAATTCGATGACTTTTTGGGCCTATAAACCCAGTTCTGTAAATTCAAATGAAGAAATGCATATTAAATGAAATTAACATTTGTTTTTAAATTACAATTTGTAATTAAACATTATTTTAAAAGTACTAAATATCAAAAAATAAGGGAATAGTAAATTAATTATAATATCTACAAATGAATATTATATACCTTTTAAAATAGTATTTTCTAAGTATAGTTAATGACAGTCGGCCGGGCGCGGTGGCTCAAGCCTGTAATCCCAGCACTTTGGGAGGCCAAGACGGGCGGATCATGAGGTCAGGAGATCGAGACCATCCTGGCTAACACGGTGAAACCCCGTCTCTACTAAAAAAAATACAAAAAACTAGCCGGGCGAAGTGGCGGGTGCCTGTAGTCCCAGCTACTCGGGAGGCTGAGGCAGGAGAATGGCGTGAACCCGAGAGGAGGAGCTTGCAGTGAGCTGAGATCCGGCCACTGCACTCCAGCCTGGGTGACAGAGCAAGACTCTGTCTCAAAAAAAAAAATGACAGTAAAGCGTTCACAGTAAAAGCAATATCAGTGCAAGTGAATTACATACATAGTAAAATTGTAATTCAATTAATATAGACATGTATCCCATGTATATGTATACATATATGCTTGCAAAAAGGACAAAAAGGAAAATAAACTAAATGTTAATCATGTTTATCTCTTAATAGATAAACTCATAGGTAATTTTCCTTCTTTATATTTGTTTTCTCCAAATTTTCTATAAAGAAAACATACCACTTTTACAATAAATACAAGGTCAAGATTCAGCTGCCCTGTTTAAGGAAACTTAGACCCAGCTAATGCTGATTCTCAATCTCATGAATTTTTCTATAAAACTTGAACCACTGCTAAAATTTATTTTAGTCATTGAATATGAGACAAGTTTTCATCGTTCTCATGAGGAGTCAAAACGCACTGAAAAAGAACATGTAGTGTTTGGAAAACCATGCTTACTGCTATTCAAATTCTTTTCAATAAATATTTACTAAGTACCCACTCTGTGTAGGTTCCTGTCTAGGTGCAACTTGCTGACTTGTTGCAGGGCTAGACTTCATTAGATCATCATCTAGGCTACCCCGGGTATCTTGGAGTTAAAAGCACGGTCACAATTGGCCCATACTTTGAGAAGCAAAGAGTCTTCCATGATAATAAAACATAAAATGGGTCAAAACAGATTAGGACCAAGGATTTTAACAACATTCTTCCACTGTTCTTCCCCTGACAATATCTTTATTTCAAAATGGGGAAGATAATTATGTTGGCATCAGTGTTGTACTGCTACCCTTAGAAATTTCTAAAGCCCTACCATCATTTCTTAAAATAGTGTGACTTGTCCACATTGAGAGAAATTTGCAGATATTAGCAGATTTTCACTTTTCCCACCAAATCCTTAGGATATGGAGTGAAACTCTTCTAAGCGAGTCTGCACCATGTTAGAGATACAAGCAGACTTTGGTGACAAGTGACTAAAGCTTTTCATTTGGGGTGTAGGCTTTTTTGCCCAAAGAGACAAAGAGCCAGGCAGCCACCAAGGACCCAACTGGTCTCTCTCTCAGGGTTCTAAATACACTGAGGTATATGGAGGTTACAATGGTTGAAGGAAGTATAATTTTAACCCAGGCAGGGTGGGGAGTACAACAGGGAAGGAAAAGAGGAATTGGGTTGGGAGAGAAGAGAGAGGGCGGAATAGAGACAATTTTCATATGCTGTTACGTTGTACACAAGGCACTCCGCCCTGTAATAAATCTTATTGGACCCTTGTTATCACCTTGTAAGGCAGAGGTCACACAGTATCATTCCCTCCAGTTTACAAAAGAGGAAACTGAATATGAAGGTAACCTTGCTCAGGGTTACCCCGTCACCTTTTGAGGAATACCTAAATATTATTATTATAATATTTTATTTGCCCTGGTAAGAAAGCAGCTCATTCTAAAAAAAACTTCTGACACTAGGATACACTATTACTTCTTTTCATTCATCTTTTTCTTCCAAACAGTAGTTATGCCAAAGGAAAGAAGGGAGGGTGATACAAGACAGGAGGAATTATACAAAGAAAGCTCTGTTTTCAAAAGGGGAGGTGGTGAACAACAAAATTTCTTTCTCCCCACTTTGTTGGGTATGTGGTTTATGCTTACGGTAGAATCTTCTATGGGTGGATGCTTATGACTTTTCATTAAGCAGAGCCAAGGGGCATAGGAACTGGTAAGTGTATGAGAGGGATAAAGCAGATACTGTAGAGTAATTATAGGCAGGTGAAAAGATACACACACATATTATATCTTCTGCTTTGCAGTTAAAAAATACTTACTTTCTGTATATTAAGCAAGGGAGAACAATTAGCATTTGGAGCACACATCGAAATGCACTAATCTCTACAGCATGGACGTCTTGCACTTTTTTAACCAATAAAGAGCTCACTGAGAAACAGAAGGCAGACAATAATGTGTAAAACAAGCCAAGTCCAGGACAGGGTGCTTTCTTCTTGGCTTCTGAAAAAGATTAAATTCTGGTTAGTCCTTGCTTCCAAGTGTATGTTTTATCATTCTTCGCTTAGATACTGGGAAAAATGGAGCCGTGTCAAAGGTTAATAGGCTATATTACCTCCTAAGCATATCATTTCTCTGGGCCTGTACCATTTTCATCATCAATTATGAAGAACCATAGATGAGGACAACAATTTAAACCTGCATTTTTAAAATGCCATTTGACCCTATCAAATGGTTTTCCTATGGCTCACTGAAGAATCATTCCTCACTTACAAGTCAAGAAGTAGAATGCTTGCCAAGATGGTGAGAGAAATCTTTAAGAAAAACTTGTCAAGATGGCAAGTAAAAAATCCTTCCAAATGATGTCTTATGCCATCTCACTGGTGAAACTGGCTTTATGAAGAAAGTGTTCTTTTCTGGAAAATGGGTTCTGATTGGGTTATACAGTTATCTGTTGATTATTTGACTTCTCCCAAGTCTGTGAGCTCTTCCAGGGCTGGGATCTTGCTGTCTTGTTCATGCCTGGCACATGGAAGACACTGGATAACTATTCAGTGAATGAAAGGTGAGAGAACTTCAGGGAAAAACTCAAGAGTCTAACACTATTGGCAATAGCATAGTCTGGGAAGGTTCTCCATTTTGTTATTTTGAACTGTTAATCAAATCTATATATAACTTTTCATGATTCACAACTGATCTTCCCATTCAGAGCACAAACTCCTCAAGGGGAGGGTGTAGGTTATCTAGCCCTTTGGATCCCAAGTGCTTTATACAGAACTGCCATCTAATCCCTACTCTTAGCTTGATCTGAACCAGGAAACCAGTGCTTTCTCCAGGGCATCAAGTATTCAGTCATTAATGACAATCTGTGTGAGCTTTAAACTTCTGTTTAGCCACTTTCTATGTCTTAGTTTCCTACACAGGAGTAGAACCTGCTTTCAGTCTTACTCCTCTGTCATTCAGAGGAGAGCAAAAGCAGCAGGATGGGCAGAGAATGCCCACAAACAAAGGCCACACACTGCGGGATATATTCTTTTTTGAAATTAACACAAAAACAGGGTTGAGGATAAGAGGAAACATAGGCCAGGCATGATGCCCTATGTTTCCCAGCACTTTGGGAGGCCAAGACGGGCAGATCCCAAGGTCAGGAGATCGAGACCATCCTAGCTAACACAGTGAAACCTCGTCTCTACTAAAAATACAAAAAATTAGCCGGGCGTGGTGGCAGGCGCCTGTAGTCCCAGCTACTCAGGAGGCTGAGGCAGGAGAATGGCATGAACCCGGGAGGCGGAGCTTGCAGTGAGCTGAGTTTGCGCCACTGCACTCCAGCCCAGGCAACAGAGCAAGACTCCGTCTCAAAAAAAAAAAAAAGGAAACACAAGTGGTCCTCATTGATTAAGAGCACAGTGGAACTGAAGGGTGAGTGGATATGAGCAATTTGTAGGAAAACTCATGTTATCATTCCAATCTAGGACTTTACAATGTGATAGCTATAAAACAGTGTTGTGTAATGTTTTTAAAAATGCCCTTCTCTGATAAATGTAAACACCAGGTAATACATTTACACATCTTCAGGTCAGTGAGATGACTTTGCAAACCGGGACCAAAGTATGCTGATGCACAGGCTTTCTGGGGCATTCTACAGCCTGGCCTCGTGGTCAAAGGCACCATTCTCTACCTCTTCCTGTTCTAGGTGCACAACTGAAGATACTGTTTTGGAACTAGCAGTCGTCCTTCCTTTAAGATGCCAGAATCCTCATTCTGTTCTGTATCCATGTGCTCATATACTGCAGAAATAAACTGTACACACTCAGCCCATGAGAAGGAAGCTTTAGAAGACTTCCAAATGAAGTACCACAAAATACATGCCTTGGTTGTGGTCAGCCTTAGGGTTTGACCTCTGAAATTTCAGAATTCAGTTCCAAGTAAAACAGTGTTTTCTTAAAAGAAACTCAACCCCTACATAGAAACTCCACCCTCAAACAGAACAGAACGAGAAGATCGAGGACAGAAACCATCTCCCTGCTCTACGTTTCAAGTATCTTCTCCAACATAAACTTGCTCATTTTTCCCCAGGAATATTTTCACGTAACATTAAATATTTTAACTCTTTAAAAATTAATTGCACCCCCTTGGCCCTGGTGACCTTTTCCCTTAAAACACATACACATATATTTTCTTGCCTATAAACATTTAAGGCTCATGCTTTCCAACTGGGAAGGGACAGACATTAGAAGGCTTCGCTGCATTTGATGATTTGTTAATGAGGGTGAGGACTGGCTCCACTCAGACAAACCTCAGTCTCTTACTGAATCATTTCAATCCTGTCAATGGAGATGAACACGACTAGCATAATGGAAAGAGGCATTTGTTTATGTTCCATGTTCATATCTCACTGCAAGCATATATAATAATTTGGTAACTCAAATTATTCAAATGAGGTAAGTGGCCATGGTATAATTTCCTCACTTAGAAGAAAACCGCAAAGTTGCTCAGCTTTTCTATCCTCTGCTTTAAGCTGGTGATTCGCAATCCTGGTTGGGAATTAGAATCACCTGAATAACACTTAAAATTTTAATTCCCAGGTGCAGTGGCTCATAACTGTAATCTCAGCACGTTGGGAGGACAAGGTGGGAGGATCTCTTGAGCCCAAAAGTTTGAGACCATCCTGGGCAACACAGGGAAACCCCCTCATCAATGCAAAACATATTTTTAAATTAGTCGGGTGCAGTTGTGTGTGCCTGTGGTTCCAGCTACTTGGGAGGCTTAGATGAAAGGATCGAGTAAGCCAGGGAGGTCAAGGCTGCAGTGAGCTGTGATCATGCCACTGCACTACAGCCTAGGTGACAGAGTAAGACCCTGTCTCCAAAAAAAAAAATTAATTCTCAAACCCCATCTCAGACCCACTGAAATAGAGTATCTGTAACTCTAAAAGACTCCACTGGTTTGAGAACCACTGCTACACTCAATCACTAACTCCTTAAAGAGAATATGAGGCACAGGCCTAAGAAACTACTTCTCCTTGCTTCAGTCTAAGACCCACACTGTCCCTGAAGAAAGTAAGGAGATGTCTTGGGACAGCTGTATGCTGTCTGTTAAGGTCATCCAAGAATATAAGACATATGGGTAACAGTTCCAACCAGAACTTGAAAAAAGCTTTGTTGAGATAAGCAGTTAGAACAAGAGGTGTCACAAAGTTCAATGACAACAGTAAAGTGTTTTTATGTCAATTTTCTTTCCAAAATACTATCTTGTCACCTTGCAATAAGTCTTACCGGTAGAAACTTTCTTTGAAGTTAAACACCCACAAGATTCTTAGATAGACTCACATAAGTATCTCATCTTGCCATGAGCTGCCTGGGGGTAGAGTATTCCTCTTCCATTCACAAAAAGGGGAAACTCCTGAGTTGGCATGGACTGATTCAGCATGCCACCAGAAGGACATTCAGCCAGAGGGTGACAGGTGAGAAACTGACCTTTTCAAAGGTTGCTTATCTGTTCAATTCAGCCTGGCGTAACCCCTGTTCTAGAGGCACCAGCCCATTTATAAATGATCACAAGTCTGATCATTTTGGTTTGCCTTTAGGACAGAAATGGAGCAAGAATCGTCTTCCTAGAGCCTGTCTAACTTGTGGAAAGCGCACAAAGGGAGGAGGGGAAAGTGCAGTGAGACAAGAGGAACAGAAATCCAGGGTCACACTTAGGGGAGGTGACTCAGAGGACAAGGTGGTGCAGGCCGTGTAACTGTCCTAAAAGGAGATTTGCCAATTCCCTTCTTCTTGCAGGAAGCTGCTCCTGGTAGATGGTCGACTTCTAAGAGGAATGTGCTTGAAGAAGCACTTGTGGCCAGTGGAAAGGGCCCTAGGCTGGTACATAGCAAGCTGGGATCCTAACCCTGGTGCTCCCTGGACATGCGCCCCATCTCACCCCCACATTCCACATCTTGGATGAGACAAAACAGAAACCCCAAAGCCCTCACCTTCCTGGGCCTCACTTTTCTCATGTGTCGAAGGACGGAGATTGAACACAAAGTGTTCTTCACGAGGGTTCCCTGGCTTTGGGGACGGGGCTGTGAGCTTCTTAACAAGATATGCCTTGTTCTGCATCGTTCGCTAAAAAGTCCTTGTATCCCTAAAGGTTAAAAACGAGTGGTCCCACTTATCTCTGCCTTTCCAAGATTCTAAAACTCTAGGACGAACATGTTTTCTAGACTCGATGCTTTTCAGCTTCCTTTTCGGAAAGAACCCTCAACCACCGGGATCACTTTTCAGGGTCAGCTTCCTCGCAACCTCGCCCTACTGCAGGATGGCCTCTCTCGCTGACCCCCCACCTAAGACCTCGGGGAGGGCACGCCAAACTGCAATCTGACTCCACAGCCCTGCCCCGGCACTAATACAGGAACAGCCTGGGAATCCCAAAAGGACTGCAAGCAATCGGAAAGTTTCTTCCGTCTTGGCGCCGGCTGGGGCGCCGGGAATTCCGCTTTGCAGCCCCCCCAGCTCATAGCTCCAGGCGTTTCCCGAGCCCCGGGCAGGGTGGGGACGGAGGCGCGGTGGGCACTGTGCCCGGGCTGCTGGAACCCCAATCCG